TTTTTTTCGGTGCCATTCATTCAATCATTTTATTTAACCCTGCTTTCTAATAGGGAAAATTTTTCATCCTGTGAAACAGCGGGGGTTCTTGGCAATCCTATAACAGGAAACGCATATTTGTGCTCTTCAGTTTCCTTATAAGGGTTTTTATTGGCTTACATGACATAAGACTGGAGGTTGAATCATCAGACCAATGTTGTATTACAAGATCATAGAAGAAGATTAAGCACGTTTGACAGAAATATCACAGGCGGAAGGAAGTAAGGCCATCGGTAAAGCTCATAACATCCTAATGGATTAGTATTCCATATGGTATCAGAGGCTACTATTCTTGGCCCATATGTGAGGAGGGTTCGGCTCATTAGTCGTTTCAAACTAAACTGAGAAAGTTTACTTTACAAACCCTTTTGTCTTTCAACGCAGTTTTTGCAATGGCAAATGCGAAAATTCTTTTCAAGCGTCGCGAAGTAACCGGGAATTGGCTAGTGTTTTTATTAACGGGACCTCATTTCTATGTTACGTTAAAAATGTTGGGACATCCAATACGCATTTCTTTGAGGGCTTATAACTTTAAACCACAAATGTAGTTTTGTAAAACCATATCACTGTCTTAAAGTCCATGGGGTCGTCTTCGCTGGCATCACCCATGACTTGAAGAGGGAGTAATGAAAGATTGCATTTGGTTTTCAGTTTGCATTTTTAAGGCATTTAATTCGGTTTTAATGGCGATGTGCTATAGTTACGAAACGCACTATACAAACGTACTTACCTACTAAACAATTCCATATATGTATGTACAATAAAAACAAACAATTTTTTTATTTCTCCGGTTGGTCAGAGAGATGTACAAATTTACATTTATTCAAATTCATCGAATTTTAAGCTAATGTATTTATGTACTTTCTTAATCCATCAACTAATCACATCGTTTATAATGTACAGTTAAGTGGATAATTCAGATAATTAAAGTTTATTAAAAAGCAATTAGGTGTTATTTATGCCAGTGTTGCAAAGCATTGCAATTTAGAATAGAGGATTTCAAAATTAGCAATGCTCCACAGAGTGTTTNAATTTTTTTATTTCTCCGGTTGGTCAGAGAGATGTACAAATTTACATTTATTCAAATTCATCGAATTTTAAGCTAATGTATTTATGTACTTTCTTAATCCATCAACTAATCACATCGTTTATAATGTACAGTTAAGTGGATAATTCAGATAATTAAAGTTTATTAAAAAGCAATTAGGTGTTATTTATGCCAGTGTTGCAAAGCATTGCAATTTAGAATAGAGGATTTCAAAATTAGCAATGCTCCACAGAGTGTTTAATGAGTTTTCATGTAGGTAATATATTTTTTTGTATTTTTATTTTGTATTTTTATAAANTTCTTAATCCATCAACTAATCACATCGTTTATAATGTACAGTTAAGTGGAGAATTCAGATAATTAAAGTTTATTAAAAAGCAATTAGGTGTTATTTATGCCAGTGTTGCAAAGCATTGCAATTCAGAATAGAGGATTTCAAAATTAGCAATGCTCCACAGAGATGAATGAGTTTTCATGTAGGTAATATATTTTTTTGTATTTTTATTTTGTATTTTTATAAATATTTTATTAAACAAATTTTACAAAGTTTAAAAGTACCAATTTGATATTTTTTAAGTATATTTTTGGGGTAATAGTGTTTACAGTTTTATGATTATCGCATATTTGGTGCGTTGATTTGTTTTGTTTTTTGTTTTTAAGAGATTTTNTTTTGTATTTTTATAAATATTTTATTAAACAAATTTTACAAAGTTTAAAAGTACCAATTTGATATTATTTAAGTATATTTTTGGGGTAATAGTGTTTACAGTTTTATGATTATCGCATATTTGGTGCGTTGATTTGTTTTGTTTTTTTTTAGAGATTTCCCGTGTTTTTCATATTGAATGATTTGGGGATGTAGATAAATCATTCGCTATGTGTTCTCATACATACTTATGTATGTATGTTTGTTTTTCGCAATAAAGTAATATTAAATATTTTTTGTCATAATCGAGTCGTAAAGCCAGTACGAATTTGCCGGTAGTTCGTTTCGAGTGCATACTATAAAATACAAATACACACATAAGATGTGCATATTTGAAAATATATATGTATGTGAGATTGTTGGATTTATGAAGAAAAAAAAATAATATTATAAATTCTTTCTTTCATTTACATGTTCAGTATAGACGCTCAAAAGTGCGATCGGGCGTAGCAAACTTAAGGCAAGCTANTGTCATAATCGAGTCGTAAAGCCAGTACGAATTTGCCGGTAGTTCGTTTCGAGTGCATACTATAAAATACAAATACACACATAAGATGTGCATATTTGAAAATATATATGCATGTGAGATTGTTGGATTTATAAAAAAAAAAATATAAATTCATTCTTTAATTTACATGTTCAGTATAGACGCTCAAAAGTGCGAGCGGGCGTAGCAAACTTAAGGCAAGCTGGCGGGCCCTAAAGGCTATAATGGCATCCTCGGTGTTAAAAAGTTACAGTCTGCAGGGCGTACGCTCACCTGCCGTAGGTAGCCACGCCAAAAGGCACAAAAGGCGTTAAACTGAGTTAATGCAATGAGTGTGCCGACAAAGTTTTTTTTTTGTCTAACTAAATATTTTTTCGCTCAAAATTTTTTTGCTCAATTTTGGGTGATGTGTAATTGTTTGAGTATATTTCTTAATAGCATCCAATAGCTATGTATGTATATAAGCTAAATTGTTACATAGCTTTCACATTTTTGTGTATTTATATGTAAATATAGCTTAGTGTTTGTAAACACACAGAAGCAGAAGTGAAAGCTCGTGCGTAAGTTTACGCTGCTCCTGTGAATATGCTTCCCTATATATGTACACATTCATATGTGTATAGTATGTTTTTTTTTTCTATTTCATTAATACGCTTAAGAACTAAAGTTGGCAACCTGGTGCTGTTCGTCGAACCGGCTGCTTTTACTAGTTACTAGGTATGCTCTTTTTACTTAATAATAAATGGAGAAAACTAATATTCAATATATTGTTTTAATATATTAATTTTTATTTATTATATTTTTTTTTTTAGATTTTTTTTTCATTATGCAATAACAAGTTTAAAATTAAAATAAATAAAATATTTTTGCATTTTATTAAACCATGAACCAAATTAAAAAAAAAAAAACAAAGTAAAACACAACTTCCGAGGATTTTACTTTTCCAAGAAGTTGTTAGTATTAAAAAATTATCCGTTGTGTCAAAATCACTTAAAACCATAGTTCGGTAAGCCAAAGTTCGCAACAAAGATTTTATTTTTTTAAATTTCTTCAGTTTTCAGTTTAAAGTTGTGATATTTTCCTCTTTCCAGTTGTAATTGGTATTAAGAGTACCAGCTGAATTAAAAAGTTGAATTTGAAAACTCATTTTTTTGCGTTCTGATTTTGCAAGAACGCGCTTGTACGTTTTTCACCTACAAAAGTGAGCGTACTCACCTCCGCAAGCTTCCAAGTATTTATGTATACAAAACTAATTTACATCGAGTGGACGTCGTTTGTTTTTTCCTATATCTAAGTTAAAAAAAAAAATTAAAATTTTTTCCGCCAGCATTTAACTTACTTTCGTACATGTAAATGCTGGCAATCCAACAAATTCACCACATTCGTGTTTCAAAATAAAAAAGGAAGAAATAAAAGCATTTTAAATAATAAAAACTTTTTAGCTATACAAAAAAAAGTGCACTGCAGGTTCATTACCGCTATTACAGCTTGTGTTTCATTGAATCCGTGGCACGCGTAGTTGTTGTAGGTGTCAAGTACCGTGTATCAATTTGCAGTTTTTAACGTACCTCAGCTTCGTTGAGCACAGCCGTACAGCCGCAGAGCTCCTTTGAGATTTCTACTCACTCCATAGCATTGTGTTTATTCCTTAAGGGATCTATTTTTTTCTTCTTTCGTCTTCTTGTTTCATAATGTACAGATTTGAGAACAAAATTCGTTAGTTTATATTTGGCGTAGTTTTTTTTTTTTAATTTTTTATGCTTCATAATTAATATAAGTAAATAATAAATAAAATTCTATAATTTGTTATCTACCCATTGAGGGCTTTATTTTTGGTTAGTTCGTGATTAGTTGATGTTTCTTTCATTTCGTTAAAATGTACCATTAGTAACATTTTTTTGTTCGTTATTTTTCTCTCTTTCATATATTTTTTTTTTGTGGTATTTTTTCATTGTAATATATTTTTTATTTTCTTTTATTTGTGCATTTGTGTTCTTCCTTTGCTTGCAGGGTCTTTCATTCCAGCTGTGTATTCCATTTTTTTTTAGGCTAGCATATGCTGTGTACCTGGTGGTACTTTGTAGCTGGGATAGTAGCTGTTCAGTGCATTTTTAGCAAAGAACGTTGTGTAGTCCTGTAGAAAGGATACATCAAAATAATGTTATTTACTAGTATTTTAAATAGTACAATATGATTTTTATAAATACATAATTGAATCTGATTAGTATTTATAGCAAATAAAAGAAAAATGGTTAGGAGCAAGTCACAGATTTTACAAATATTGTTTCTGTTCCAGCCACGAAAGTTGGTAGACTGCCCCCATATCTTAATCCTCTCGAACATATTTCTGAACATATTAGTTTCAAAGAACATAAATTGATAGATTTCAAAAAATTTCACACACCAAAATTATCTTCAGTATTCATAAAAAGCAGATTTTAACTAGATCAAGAAGAATTCATAAAATTTTCGAACATTCAAAATATTTGATGATTTGCTAATGTCATCAAAAGTGGTATTTTTGTATTTAACCATTTTAGGGATAGGTGATGGTGGATGCTTAAACCTGAAATCCCTCCCTTGGGTGATCCTACGTATATAGGAAAATGTCGTCTATTTTAGCTGTCGACTATGTATGGTCAAATAGGTGAAAACCATAAATAATGCCTAAGAACCCTTGTATATTTTGTCTCATCCTCACATGAAACTGGCTTTGATACTGAGACCCTAAAAGTAAGGCGATGTAAAAACAAAAATTTTGCCTCGGATGAGACCCTTTTCTCTTGATGACGACCCGGCGAACGTTCTATGGATTATGATTGGAGTGTATGCACCTGGAATGCAAGCATTCTTGAAAGGGAAGCTGACTCGAAGCGATGTGGATTTGCCGTAATAAGAAGGGGGAGGCCGAAAACGGGACTGCGCAGAGATTGAGACGTTGGTGAGAGGAAAAACGCCCTAAAACTTTACCAGAGAGCTGTGCGAATTAAGGAAGGTTTTAAGACCAAGACAAACTGTTAAATGGCAAAGCCTGCCAGATGAGCCATTCAAGTACGGCGGGAGTTGTTATGGTGCGTGCATCAACTAATTTGAAGAAAATGGTCGCTTGAATTCATTGCTGACGACTTCACTTTAAGTGTGCACAAGAAAGGCGATCCTGCCATGTGGGCTAAACCACCTCGGGATCAGACTGCTGAATATCAAATATAAGGTTTTATCGAGCATAATGTGTGGGAGGTTAAAAGGAATTGGCTGGGCTTTATAAGTGTGGCTTTAGACCGGGTTAATTCACCACAGACCAGAGGAGTTCTCCCTACCAAAACTTAACCTGCCTTGTGTATAAGAAAAATAAAGATCCCTGAATTTTCTATAGTAAGACCAGATGTAACTTACTTGAACCTTACATCGCAGGCTAAGACTTTTACATTATCCTCGGCTCCAAAATTACTTGAATGCGTATATTGAGGAGACAAAAAGCAACGTATAAGTAATAGCATTTGAGAGAAGCTGGGGACTGTCAACTCATGTCATTAACGGTATGTGCGCCATAGTCTTCTGACATAATTCTAGCTTGGTAGAAAGCGCTGGATAAAAGTATTAATCAAAAAATAAACGGAAGTAGACAGATCCTCGCATACCTCGGTATAACAGGCGTTGTGAGTGAGTAGTGCAACAAAAAAAGGGATGGTAGTGATTTCCTCATTCAGGACTCCTATTGGATATGCAACTGGAAAGGGATGGAATACTGGTCTCTTCTTCTTCTTATTTGGCGCTGTAACCGCCTAAGCGATTTTGGCCGAGTTCAAAACAGCACGCCAGTCATTTCTCTTCTGTGCTAACTGACGCCAATTGAAAATGCCAAGTGAAGCNCATCGCGGCCCGCGTTGAATATTTTCAGAGGAGGAGCGTTTCTGTCCATCCGAACGACATGGCCAAGCCAGCGGAGCCGCTGAATTTTAATTCGCTGCACTATGTCTATATCGTTGTAAAGCTCATACAGCTCATCGTTAAATACTGGTCTACTGACGGGAAATTGTGATGGAAAAGGACGGTTGGCAAGGGTCGCTATTCGGAGACATTTGCGCCATAGAGAAGATTGCCGCTTGTCTCAACGGAATCTTTCTAACCGAAAGTTTCTAACAGGGAAAATTAGTATATTCAAAGACAGCCAAGTGCCATTGAAAATGTTAGGATACAAAGTAGTGAAATCACAGATATCTAGTTCGGAAATGTTGCATCACTGAGACACGAAATAGCCGATGAGATTCCCAGAAAAGGTTCGAAAATGAAAATAAGCGAGGCAGATGACTCCTTACAAACACCGAGTATAGCACAGCCGTAGCAAATGGCGCATGGAATACCCGATACAACTGTGAAGTTTCCACTATTTATACCAATATACAGTTCTTTTTTTTAAATATTTATGGCTCGCATTGTCTATATATTTTTTTTTTTGAATTTTTTACTAGTTTATAATAAAGGTACAAACTTACGCGATTGACTTTCCGTGGGCGGCATACCGGTCCCAAAGCCAATTTGCGGCGTTCTTCGTTTTCCCGCACCGCGGCTTCCTTGTATTCCGGTGGGGGCCACTTCAAGTCACCGCGCATATTGGTGCCTCCTAGTGGAAACAAAACAAAGAAGAAAAAAAATTAGCCAAGTGCGTTTGATAAGTAAATTAATGGTGAGGTTACCTTGAAAGCTAACGGCCGCTGGTTGTGAGTTGTAAACCGGTGCTGGCCTCTGCGTAACAGGCGCCTCCTTGCGCAACGTAATTATTCCAGGACTGCCGCCGCGATAATCTTGTGGCAGAGGTTGTTGTTGAGCCGGTGTACGACGATCGGGCTGATCTTGGCCAACGGGTGGTTGTTGTTGTTGTGGCTGTGAATAAGAATTATATTGATTGGATTGTGGCACATTCGAATATTGCTGGGGTTGTGGTTGTTGATGTTGAGGAGGTGCTTGATATTGTTGTTGATGATATGGTTGCGATTGATAATTAGATAGAGGAGGCGCTTGATATTGTTGTTGTTGTTGTTGAGACGGTGCCTGTTGATAAGGCGCCTGCACTGTCTGATATTGCTGACTTGGCTGATTATGCGCCCAAGATGGCTGCTGCTGCGGCGGCTGATAGTAGGGCTGTTGGCTATAAGGAGGCTGTGAGCCCTGATGTGGCTGATATTGTTGAGGTTGAGGTTGATATTGATCGTATGATGTGGCACGATACTATTTCGTGTTCGTTTTTCAATTCGTTTGAAATTTTAAAGCCACCATTTTTGGTAAAAAAACATCGTGGTGCGTATCGGTTGTCGGTTGTCGTTTGTCGTTTATAAAGGTTGAGGGGATTTATTGTTGCATGCGTTTTGTTTTTTTTGATAGATTTTGAGGTTGTGTTGTTTTTTGTGCGTACATATATAATTATGCAACGGACCATAATACATAAACAAACATACATAGATTTGTTATGTAAATGTGGTATTGGAATATTCAGGTACAGTGTGTGAGATAGAGAGCGTGAGTGTCCAAAATAGTTGTGGGGAGAAAGAGAAAAGACGAAAACACACCAATTAGAAAGTCAAAAATGTGTGAGGAGCTAAGTTTTGTTAAATTTTTGCATTTGTATGAGATTTTCAATTAATAGGATACAATTAAGACATTTGACTAAAAAAGTGTGTGTGCACTTATGTGATAGAGAGTGCAGAAAACTTAGTAAATATGTATGTATGTAAATTTGTAAGTAGAGTAAATAGCGCGAGCTTATGTGCGTTTGGTAAGCTGAAATTTGCGAGAGATAAAAAAGAAAAGCTTTTGTTAGCTATGATTAGAACTTTATTGGATCAGAACTAATGAACAGTTATATTTACAAATTATGGATGTACGATTGTAAGTAAGTAATTATGTTTATATGTATAGATGTATGTATGTATATATGTGCGGATGTGAAGTGAGATTCAGCATTTAAGCAATTATTTAAAGCTCGTGAACTAATATTTACATGTTTATATACAGAATGCAATTTGTTTTTTTTTTGAAAGTAAGTATGCGCAGTTAAGTATAATCTAAGTATATAAAAGTTAGTATGTATACTTTGTCAACGTAAAATCTACATACAAGCATGTGAGTTCTTTGTTTGCAGTACTTATTTACCCACTTATTAACCTAAGCACATATACATATAGTTTCAATAGTTACATAGTAGTTACATTCTGCTTAAATATTCCCTAGAAAAGATTTTTGAAAAATCTTAAAATACAAAAACCATTCCATTAAATAAATATGTGCTAAAAAATTTTCCCTACTCTCGAAAATTAAACAAAAAATAATTTGTGTAAAATTACGCATAACGCACATATGTATGTTTATGTCCGAAAATGGTGGTACACTTATCTTAGACAATGCGTTGTCTTCCGTTTTGCGTAAATAATACGATTCCATCGCGAAATTGTATTTAAATAAAATCTTAAGAAATATAAATACTAAAAAAAATAAAAATAACCACTCGTGCTCATATACCCGTAGTTGTGTATGTTACGTATACGCCCCGTAGTACGCCTTATCTTAAAAGTCATATAATTTAAAAGTACCTAATTATTGGCGTGGAAGATTTTTACACAGTATTCCTTATGCACATATATATTAATTTGTTCATATATATAACAATTTCAGAATGAATTTTGAGTGTGCAAACAAAAATTAAAAAAAATGGATTTCTAGTTTCTCAAATCGTAAACATCTTTTACTCAATGTAATTATTTTTCATTTGGTGGCACATTATTTTTATTACACTAGCAAGAAGAACATTTTCACCGTTTGGTTTCAATATTTTGAAGTATCTTAAATTATTAAAATTAAAATCCACAGTATACAGTAAACCAGCCATTGACAATATGGTTATTTGAAAATTAATACATGAAATATTGTGAATGTATAGGATTTATTTGTCATTAACCCATAGGCAGCGACTGATGCAAAAGTACCCACAAATGTTTGTTGATGCATTTGACATGTAAATTTGAACAGCAAAATTCGTAAAAAATACTAATAAAACAAAATTATTTTTAATTACTACGTGGGAAGTGGGCGTGGTTATTGGCAGATTTCGCCAAAGTTTAACAATATCCTAACTTATACCAAAGGCAACTTCGACACCGACTTTCGTTAAAATATCTAAATTTTGTTCGAGTTAGCGTGTTTACAAACAGAGAGGGCTGAACTAGTTCATCTCGTAATTTTGAATATTTGATATATATGTATGCATATGTGTATATGGGGCACCGAAATTGCGCATATGGAAACTGTGCATTTAGGCATTATTTCGGTTTCAACCGAAACTGTGCATGTATGCTTTATTTCGGTTTTTTCCATTTGCATTATTTCGGTTTTGAACTGAAATTGTGCATGCATGCATTATTTCGGTTTTTGTTATATGCATTATTTCAGTTTTCTAACGAAAGTGTGCATATGGATAATTTCGTTTTTTCTAATATGAATTATTTACTTCTACTTAGTAAGGGTTTTAATCCCTAAGCGCGGCTGAAAGCCGCCTACGCAGAGAAAAGTTCTGCGCAAAAATACGTCCGCCCTTCTTTTCCGGCAATACAGAAAGGAGAATTCTACTTAGTAAGGGTTATAATTCCTAAGCGCGGCCAAAGGCCGCCTACTCAGAAAGGAGCTCTGCGCAAAAGTACTTCCGGTCCCCTTTTTCGGCAACACAGAAAGGAGAATTCTACTTAGTAAGGGTTATAATCCCCAAGCGCGGCCGAAGGCCGCCTACGCAGAAAGAAGTTCTGCGCAAAAATACTTCCGGCCCCCTTTTCCGGCAACACAGAAAGGAGAATTCTACTTAGTAAGCGTTATAATCCCTAAGCGCGGCCGAAGGCCGCCTACTCAGAAAGAAGTTCCGTTTTCATGTATGCACTATTTCGGTTTTTGTCATATGCATTACTTCGCTTTTGAGTCGAAACTGTGCATGTATGCATTACTTTGGGTTTTTCATATGCATTATTTCGGTTTTCAAACGAAACTGTGCATATATGCATTATTTCAGTTTTTTCGTATGCATTATTTCGGTTTTTTTCATATGCATTATTTCGTATGCACAGTTTCCATATGCACAATTTCAGGGTGCCGTGTATATATGTACATACATTTTATACGGTTAACAAACTCGCTTGCTTATCTGCATAAACCATCTTTACTTGGATTAATTCATGCATTATCCCCTTTCAAATGTGAATAAGCGGCTGAACAAATACATACAAATTTCGCGCATTTGAAAATTAGAGAGTTCTACCTTAAGCTAAGTAATAATTGTTTTACCGCCTAATCGATGGGACCATTTTAAGAAGTAAGCCTGCCATTACTCACTCACGTGTTCGGAACACGGTTTGACTTATGTAGGAACTGCGCCCGGTTATAATCGCTTATATTACATTTACATTGGACCAAAATGCGTGATTTGAAATCAGTCATTTGAAGGTGTTTACACTGCTTGATCCGCATATGCTTTGACTTCTCATCAAATGAAAAGGGAAGACAAAAACAAAATGTATGTAAACAAACACTACATTTATTATATTGTTAACACTTTTTGGACACAAAAAGGCAATTATTCTTTGATTAAACTAAAAATGTGTAAAGCTCTTGTATAAATTAACAATTTTTACACACAAATTTCAAAGATTTATTTATTTCGTTGTGTTTGTTTTGTGTTTGAAAAATTCCAAATGTCAAAGACAAACCAAAGCTTTTGTGGAACTTTTGTTTCTGAGTGCGTTCAATAAAATAGTACGGCAATTGGAACGCATTTGTTTCGTGATTTTGTGTAAATGCGTCGAAATGCGTCATTCTGGAAATGTGAATTTGTATGGAGAAATGCGTGATTTGGCCTCGCATTTGAGGTTTCTCGCCCAAATGACGCATTTGGGCTCAATGTAAATGTAATATTACGCTTCACGCTTGATTTGCTTGGAATTTTGTTTTTCTCGTTATTTTGTTTTATGTGACTTGAAAATATTTTTCACTATAAGAAAATATTTAAATTGGATTTCATTTGGGTTAACGAAAACGACAACTGTGAAAAAATATCAACCAATACATTCAAGCAATATGTCAAATAAGCATATTTACATTTTTTGTTTTGGCTATCTGGATTACTGTATACTGTGTTAAAATCGTGAACTTTAAAAATTACGAAAAAATTTTTTCAATTTTGATGGCGCCCTCTTCAACTATGTACTATTGCACCATGAATATTCTATGTGAAAAATTTCCAAAGTTATTAAAAACAAAATACGATTTTTTTCGAGTGACAAAGAAAAAGTGAGTATTTCGGTACTTTTTCGACTAAGTAAACGTTTTAAGGCTAAAATTGTTCAAATACTTGATAAGTTTTTTATTTTACTCATAATTGAAAGTCTCTATAAAAAAATTGTTAAAAACGCTTTCAACACATAACGGTTCGAACATAACACGATCGTATTCGTTGAATTAAACTGGTTCAACGGCTTGCTCAGCAAATACTTTTTCGTTTGACAGTTCTGAATAAGAATGACATTGTTTCAGCTAATTTGTCACAATTTTCAAATATAACTTTTTCGCGCAAAACAAAGTCTCTTCGGCCGATATCTATCACTAAGTGAAAGTGGCGCCTATCTCTAGCCCAAGCTTGCCAGTTTTTAGGCGATTTTAATTAATTAAAACCTTTTTTGTACGAGAGGAGGACAACCAAGTTCGAGGATTGGTGAAATTAATGCAAGTGTAGGGGATTTTAGCTAGTACTACTTTTCGACTCAATACCTTTATATTCTACATAAGTTTTAGTCAAATCGATTCATTAAGGTATCAAATGTCGCCGAATAAGTAAGTTAATTGGAGAGAAACCTTTTGTATCGTGATTTATGTATTGCCTCTGTAATATACATATACACATACGTATACAAAACATATACATACTGATAGATCTCTCTCAGCTCTCGCCACTCAGCTCTCGCCACGTTAATCTCCCGAATTTCACATCAATCAACGCAATCTTGTATTCTATCGGTCTTGGTCTATATCTACAGTGGCAAAAAAAAAAGATGAAGCACTGCCTAAGTTAAAGACGGCGCAAAACGCTGGAATGATCGTAGCTACAATATTTTTGAACTCAGACTACATGTAATTGTTGCGTTGTAACAAAAAATAGTAAAAACATTATGGAGGAAATGAGGCCTTTAAACAGTGCTACTATTGCCGCCTTATATAAATGATCTGCAATCAAGATTAACATGCAATTTTTTACGAGAAATTCGATTCATACGAGTCAAAAGTAAAAGCAGGACAAAGTCCAAATTTATACTTCGCATGCCTGCATCATCGACCTGCTAAGCTCGCAGTTTAGTCACTCGCACTTAAGCCATACCTTAAGCTTCTAATAATCAACTGCTCTACACTCAAATGGACTTTCGTGGGAATAGTTTACTTTTATGTATTTTAGCTAATATTTTTAAAACTACTTGCACATGTACTACATATTACTACTAATAAAGCTTGTTTGCGAAATCAGTGCAGGGCGCTTTGAGCTTTTACCTGGGGACAAAAGTAATTTATCCAAGGCTAGCGACTGCATTTATGCGATGCATATAGCAGCTTAACTAATAAATAGGAAAGTGAAAGTAATGCAACGGCGTTCTACTACTCAAATACATAATTCACGTGCGTATTTAATTTATACATAAGTAAGTATGTATGTACTATCTACTTAGGCACACTTGTGGCTGTACCTGAGGAGCTAGCTGTTGCTGGTGTTGCTGTTGTTGACCATAGCTCGGATAAAATGGCTCAANTTGGGCTTGAGTGTATTGTATGGGCTGTTGGGGTGGTTCATAGTGTTGTTGGTATGGTGATTGGTTTTGCTGTTGTGTTGGGGATTGTTGATAAACTTGTTGTAGTGGTTGTTGTTGTTGTTGTTGCTGTTGGTAGGGTTGAGGTGAATTTTGACGGACTGGCCGAGTGACGTTATTATAAATTGGACCCTAAAAGAATGCCATTTACATAATTGCAACTGCAGAAATTGGCGAATCGTGCGAAGGTACTTAGCATAGAGGCATAGAGTATTTAAATTTTTGTTTGTTTGTTATTTAAAGGCTAAAGTAATATTATTGTTTGCCCTGAAATTTAATTATAGATATTACATTTTTTTCACTTCCAAAA